CTGATTTAATGACCGAACAAGTGTGCCGGAACCATGGCTTTGAGACATTGTTCACATAATTGGTATAAGGTGAATAAGAGAACCTGGATGTGAGGTTGTGCTACTTGTGAGCTTTTCTTTTATCCCCCCTGTAATCTTCTGTGCCAATCCAAAACACACTTGGGATATTTTTCTAGCTTTCCAGAAAAGATTTTTAGGGTTTAAGGCAAAGTGTGGCTTCCATTTTGTTTTGTGAACAGACCTGCGTCCACAGGCAGAAGTATGTTTTCACAGCATATCAAACACCCTCCACCAAGCATAGGAAAGCTTAGATTAGTCATAAATACAGAAAATATTGACACAATAGTTCTCCACATTTCTATACTGACACTTAAAATTCATTGTAGATACATCTATTCTGATGGGCATGGTACAATTCTAGTGAAGACTTGGTCCACATTATATTGTGTAATGCTACCTTAGAATGCTACACATAAGCAAACAGCTGTAATTAGAATGCTGAAATGTACTGTAATTTTGAAATACTCAAAATATTTTCCTTTTTGACAGCAACAATAGGGCTCCATAAGGAATGGGTCATATTGAAGTACTAAATTTATTACTGAATAGCCAGATATATAATCCAGATATATAATACAATGAAGTAGACATAGAGCTTGGGTATGTGTGTTTCTAAGTCCTGTAAACACATTTATTTATTTACATTATTTATATACCGCTTTTCTCAGCCCTCGGACTCTTTCATCTTGTATATGAAAGAGTTAAATTGAGGCATGTCATATGTTTAGGTTAAAACATTGGGTAAAATAAGTCAGCTTTGAAATTGTTCAGAATTTTGAATGATGCATATGCTTCCCTCTTCATATTTGGTTTCTTTCTCTAATTCAAGATTTAAACAGGTGTTTTTTCTTGTTGTGTTTTGCTAGATGTTATACAGCTAGTATAGGATGCCAATTTGGAAATGTTTATTTTGTTGTCAGCACCCTAAAGCACATAGAGAGTTGTATCTAGCTGTTCATAACCTCAGACTGCTGATATCTTTGTAAATATGTTAATGTCACCCACAGCTTCTTTTCTTCCTTTAATCTATACAAGTTATAGAAAGCTTTTCCTGTTTTAGAAAATTACAAAGATTGTTATTTTTGAAATGCATTACATATTTTATCACAAGGCAAATGTGTTATTGTATTATACAAACCATGTCTGGTGGTATAGTGTTTAGGTACCCCTGTATACTGAATGAATACAATTCAGGTAGAAAGTTTGGATATTTTATTGTTGGCAAATGTTGTGATTATTTTTGTTGGGGGTTGGCGGGGGGAATCATGTTTGCTGACTGAGCCGGCATGGTCTGCATGTTGGACTGAAACTCAGGAGACCAGGATTCAAATCCCTGCTTGGTCATGGAAACCCATTGGGTAACCTTGGGCAGGTCACACTTTCTCAGCCTCAAAGGAAGGCAATGATGAACATCCTCTGAATGAATCTTGCCAAGAAAATCTTGTGATCATTTCTCAGTAGGGTTGAACTGGCTAAACAAAATGAATACATTGATTGAATAAAACATTAAATTAGTAGAATTTGTAAATCACACGGAAGATCTGTAGTCTTAGAGGGGACAGTCTTGGTAGAATGAAGCACTTGTTCACTTCAACAGTGGGAACATTAAGCAGATTTGCCATTGCAATCAGTGGTACTCAAGGTACTTGGAGAGAGCCCAGAGGGCTTAGTGTAGTTCTTAGAGATTACTGTACTTTTGAAATACTCCAAATCATCAACAGTTTCATATTGGTGCTGGAGCATGGCTGCATTCTTCTTAACACAGTTAAGGCACTGTTTCATCAATTTTGTTCTTTAGGTCTACATTTGAATATTTTTGCACAAACCAAAACGTTTTGTTAGTGTTTACATTTTGAGAAGTTAGGAAATGGGGAGAACCAGGGCCAAAGATCACTTAGTAAGTTCACACTATGAATGGCATCAAAACACACCTGCCAGAAGAGAATGAAACAATACTAGCACTTTTAAAGCACAGCTACATATGTTTTAAGAACTAAGGGTGCATCTATCTATACTATAAAATAAATGCAATTCAACACATCTTTCACTTCCATGGCTCAATTCTATGGAATCCTGAGGGATGTGGTTTCACAAGGTCTTCAGTCTTCTCTTCCAAATAATATTGGTGCCTTATCAAACTACCAACTCCCCATGATTCCATGCCATTATGTCATGGCAGTTAAACTGATATCAAACTACATTAATTCTATATTTTAGGAGTACCCCAAATCCCACTGAGTTCAATGGAGTTTACTCCTAGTTACATAGGCATAGAATTGCAGTCTTAGTAGCTATAACAAGGTGCCCTTATTTTTTATAGAATTGCCTTGTAAGTAATCAGTAAACAGGTTAAAATATGAGAGCTATGCATGTCTAAGGCGCAAAAGCTTGAATGTGTCCAAGTTATGGTTTAAAATCTAAATGGTGCAGTATTCCAGTATTTTAACAATGCATGCATTGCATAATAGTGTTTGCAAAAGATAATACTTCAGAAAATCACTGTAATGGAATGAATTGCCTCAGTGGAGAATAATAGAACACTTCTCTGGTTTGTTTTTGTTTTTTGAGAAAACAAGATATGTATTTACTAAACTTTTATCCCACTTCCATCATAAAGAAATGGTGCTCAGGCAGCTACTAGCTATAAAATAAATCTCAAAACATACCAATAAACAGAAACCACAGAAGAAATAGGAAGAACTCATTTAGTTAAAAACACAGATCAACTTACTTACTAACTATCTGTCTGAATAAAAATATCTTTATCTGTTCCTGTCCTGGTATGAGCATTACGTCAGTCTTGTATGCTTGATCAGGAAGTAAATGAACCTGAATGACTTATCCACTCACAATATTTAAAACAGTGATTCTCAACCTGTGGGTCTTCGGATGTTTTGGCCTTCAACTCCCAGAAATCCCAACAGCTGGTAAACTGACTGAGATTTCTGGGAGTTGTAGGCCAAAACACCTGGGGACCCACAGGTTGGGAACCACTGATTTAAAATGTCCATGTTTTGTGTAACTGCAGTTCCATTGACCTGTAGACACAGTTTTCATCTGTTTACTCAACAGTGTGCAAAGTAAATAGTACATGCCCATCTAAAAAGAGCATTTAGTTACAGTGCTTCTAGCAAAATTGGCTCAGTATTTTCTGGTCATTCCTCAGTTTCCCCTGCTTCCACATACTTCTCCTGGCTGTTGGAACACACAAGTGAGTGGGTTAAAAACAAAGGTTATGAAAAAGCTTTTAAATAGTGTGGATAGGGTTCAGACAAAGAAGAGAAATGGTATTTCTAGTGTTGCCAGGACTCTTGTTGTATGTTGGATCGCATAGTATTTTGAAAGAAGTAGATGATTAAAATTTTATAACAGCGAATAAGAATAAAATTGTCCAAAGCTACTGAAAGAAAAGGTAGACACAAAATGTTTAAATGAGGTAATTGAGCAGGGTCCCACAGTGGTCTGCAGAATATTAGATTTCGTCCAAGTAAGACAACAATCCCTTCCTCCTCATATCGCCTAAATCCTTTTCTGCAGAGGCAAGAAACTGCTTCTCAGGTTGCATGGAAAGTTGCGGAGCAAAGGGGAAGATGTTTCCAAAGATCGCATGAGGGAAATATTAGACATAACTGCCTGATTAGAGAAAGGCAGTAACTAAGACATTGTACTGATAGTTCTATCTCTAGAACAGCATAAGTAGATACACTATGTTTAGAATATCTTACATTTGTAAGACTTCTGTTGAGCATCATAATTCCTCTTTACCTTTGTGCTTTAAGGGATAGAGAAGCAAGATATCTTAAGGGAGGAGTTAGTAATGTATTCATTACTGTTTTTGAAATATTATCACAGATTTGACTTCAAGTGGTGAATTCTATCCAAATAGCCACAGTCCTATAAATCAGACACAGTCTTGCCTCTCTGTATGTTAGCCTTCCTGGGGCATTGGTTCGCACATTGTTTCCAAAGAAACATGGCATTGCTCAACGGAAAAGCCAGTAATAATCGAGTGTTTTATTAAAAAGACAGCTTGCCCATCTGTTTCCTTGTAGTGCACCCTTAGTTCACATGGCAACCATGAAACCTGATATGGCCTAATCACTGATCATACTGATAATGGAGTGTGTTCCCAGAACTGTGTGAGGTATGTGGGAATTCAACAGCAGGACAGTTAATGCCATTCCTTCAAAGCGGAAAGGATTTAAACCTCTGTGTGTGTGCGCGTGTCTGTGTCCATGCTTTCAAATTGCGACCCCATTTGTTTCATAGGGTGTTCTTAGACAAGGAATACAGGGAGGTGATTCTAACAGTTTCTTCCTGGTTGTGTGTGTGTGTATGTGTCAGGAGTGACTTCAAAAACTGAAAGTTGCTTCTGGTGTGAGAGAATTGGCAGTGTGCAAAAACTTTGCCCAGGAACGCCCAGCTGTTTTACCATCCTTGTGGGAGGCTTCTCTCATATCCCCACATGAGAAGCTAGAGCTGACAGATGAGAGCTCACCTCGCTCCCCAGATTTGAACCACCTACCTTTCGGTCAGCAGTCCTGCTGGTACAAGGGTTTGGCCCATTGCGCCTGTGAAATACACCTTAAAGCATTGTATTTTTGTCTATGTTCTCTAAGTTTGCCTTGCTTAGTTATAAGGTCAGACAAAATCTGGTGCCTTTAAGATATTTAGGCCCTACGTTGCTTTACTTTTTTCCTGCTAGCAAAAAAGACAGCACACAAGAGAGTAGAACTTCCCCCAAATATTTAGGGAACTTTCTGATCAAGAGTATAGATTCCTAAGTTGGTACAAGATACTTGTATCCTGAAATAAAAGCCTTTCATGAACTAGGCTGTATAATATTGTGATAGTCGTACATGTCCTTTTGTAGAGTACTTAAAAGATGAATGGTGTGGAGATCGGCTGTTAATTATGTTTTATGTTTCTTTCTCGTTAAGGTTTGGACCCCATGGAATCCCTGTGACCATATTTCCCAAAAGGGAGTACAAGGATAAACCTGAAGCGATGCAGCTTCAGAGTAAACCATTCCAAGACGAGATGCCGGTGAAGTGTGAAGCCAATGGTGTCGTCACGGACTCTTCTCCCATGCAGCCATCAGAACCCAGCTTGGCTAAAAGCCTATGGACTTCCAAGCCACCTCCCCTCTTCCATGAAGGAGCGCCGTATCCTCCTCCTTTGTTTATCAGGGACACATATAACCAGTCAATACCTCAACCTCCGCCTCGGAAAATTAAACGACCCAAGCGGAAAATGTACAGGGAGGAACCCACTTCTATTATGAATGCTATCAAGCTACGACCCAGACAGGTCTTGTGTGACAAATGTAAAAACAGCATTGTTGCAGAAAAAAAGGAAATTAAGAAGGGCAGCAATGTAAGTGACTCCCCAAGGTATGAGGATAGTAGAAAGCGAAGAAATGAAAGCATAACTACTGTGAATAAAAAAATTAAAACTGATCATAAAGTTGATGGGAAAAGCCAAAATGAAAGCCAGAAAAAGAATTCTGTGGTCAAAGTGGCAAATATTGCCCACAGCAGAAGCAAAGTAGTTAAAGTCCCCACTCAAGCAAATACATCAAAAACGCAGTTAAACACTAAAAAGGTTCTCCAGAGTAAAAACATGGATCATGCAAAAGCTCGAGAAGTGTTGAAAATAGCCAAAGAGAAGGCACAAAAGAAACAGAGTGCAACCTCTACTTCCAAAAATGCACATTCAAAGGTCCACTTCACGCGGCGTCTTCAAAACACCAGCTCAGGTTCCCTGCCCCCTCGATTGCGCCTGAAGCCCCAAAGGTACCGAAATGAAGAAAACGACTCTTCTCTCAAGACGGGGCTTGAGAAGTTGCAGAGTGGCAAGATGGCAGCTAAGCCCCAGTCTCGCTGCTCCTCTACCCGCTCAGCAGGTGAGGCCCCTTCAGAAAACCAGAGCCCCTCAGAAGTCCCCGAAGAGGCCCACAGTGAGGTTCAGGACACCAGTGAAGTGCATGTACCTGTTGATCAGGATGAACAGCAAACCCTGGGCAAGAGAGGCAGCAAAAGCAATATAACGGTTTACATGACCCTTAATAAAACGAAATCTGACTCTTCCAGTGCATCAGTTTGTAGTAGTGATAGCACAGATGACTTGAAGTCCACCAACTCTGAGTGTAGCACTACTGAAAGTTTTGATTTTCCTCCAGGCAGCATGCATGCACCTTCTTCCTCTTCCTCCTCCTCCTCGTCCTCTTCAAAGGAAGAGAAAAAGCTCAGTAATTCCTTGAAAATGAAAGTCTTTTCAAAAAATGTCTCTAAATGTGTCACACCAGATGGCAGGACCATATGTGTAGGAGACATTGTTTGGGCCAAGATCTATGGCTTCCCATGGTGGCCAGCCCGTATTCTTACTATAACTGTGAGCCGGAAAGATAACGGCCTTTTAGTCCGACAGGAAGCTCGTATTTCATGGTTTGGGTCCCCAACAACATCTTTCCTTGCTCTTTCACAGCTCTCCCCTTTTTTAGAAAACTTTCAGTCGCGATTTAATAAGAAGAGAAAAGGTCTTTACCGCAAGGCCATTACAGAAGCAGCCAAAGCTGCTAAGCAGCTAACTCCTGAAGTTCGGGCCCTGCTGACACAGTTTGAAACATGAACATGAGAAGTAAGGTAGGCAAGAAATCTGGAGGCTCCTTGAAATGTCTAGCCTAGTTAAATACCATGAAGGACTTGGCCAATTAAATACAAGAATTGCACTCAGTTGGCTGCTTTTTTATACTGAAATTTCCATTTGTAGCAATGTCTTGACTGAAAGTTATACTTAACAAAATGTACATGCAATTAGAATTGACCCAAAATGAGATCTCAGTATTTTTCAAAAGGACTCTGACATTTTTTTTTGTAAAAGTTAAAATTCCTCTGACCACCCCCTCATGCAAGGAGCCATAACCTCAGCTGAAGAGCAGTTTATTTGCAGGGAATTTTTACTAGTTTCTACCCACTGTATATACCATGTCAGTGTGTGGAAAGATGGAAGGGGGTGGGGGGAGGGGTGGTTAACCCATGAAATAGAAGTTGTAGACAGCACCTAGATGATCCACCTCGAATGCAGGGCCCTGGGCCTCCTGTTGAAGCCTTGAGTGTTTATTTCTGTTTTTACAGAATTTTTTACCCCAGCTAATTCTAAGAGCATGAGTGGGCCCAAAGAGTCAGTGTGTGGCTAAAAATACTCCCATTCCCACTGGTCACTTTATGCCCCTTTTAGAAACCAGTTTAATTTGCAACCAGCGAGCTATGTTTAATCATTAGTAAATGGGTCTTGGTGGCTGCCTCTCTCCAAACACTCAGTTATGCTATGCACCCAAGGACAGAAGTAGGAACGTCAGGTTTTGGCAAGTTAAGAGGACGCCGGTTGCTCACAGGCAGGTCTCAATAGTTCCTCCATGTTTAGGATCAAGGGCTGTTAATGCTGCATTTAAGTGTGAACCATACCTTCGTATCTGAGGGTGGGTGGGGTGCTCCGAGGACAGTATTGTCCTGTGGGTTTCGCTTGAAAGATTTTGTGTTCTGTAAATAATTCAGTCAGATTTTTCCCACTGACTACTTGTTCTTAAATTCTTAGGATTCGTCCTAGTAAATTACACTTTGTGAACTGTCAGATGTGTAATTGTTGCATTTGGATGTACCGAACTGCATATTTTTTTTAAATATTTCCATTGAAGGTATCTGTTTGCAGGTCAGAAAATATGGAAATGTAATTGTGTAATGCTCTGAAATGTACAAAAATTGTAAATAAAATTGACTAAATCTAATTATTTGTGTGTGTTTCTCAAAAAGCTTTGAAAGAAATCAGGAAACAAGAATGTTTTCTGTATACGCAATATTTAGAGAGTTAAATGTATAGTTTCTCCACTCAGTAATGTCCAGTGTAGTTTCACAAACAACATATAAAATGTTATTGGTGCTTAAATTTTTAAAGGTTCTAATTTTTATATAAATTCAACTCAATAAGTAATTGTTTGTGTTCTACAAAAACACACTTTCATGAGGATAATTTTTTCCCAATGTGTGATGTTATCTAAATCCCACCTTGCTGTTAGATAGTCTGCCTGTTTCCTCCCTTGTGATAGGCATTTTAATGCAGTTGGTTCACCCAGATCAGAGATTATGTAATGAACTTTTTATTTTGTATATGCTCTCACTTTATACTGATGTAAAAAGTGCCTGTTCCCACCCCCCAAAATATACATTACAGTTTTATGAGTAAGAATTAGGGAGAAAAGAAAAGAAAAAGGAAGAAAAAATACCTAAAACTGATCTAAACTCAAATTTGTTTTATTTTAAATTCAAGGGCTCTTAACAGTTTAATGCTAAGGTATGTTTTTTTCAATAATATTCAAATGTGTGATTCATTTTATTCTAAAACATTAAAAGCTAAATATCCAGTGTTAGTACTGCTCATTGAAATCAATGAAATTCATTAGTTGAGAGTAATGTCACATTCATTTTACTCGTTCTGCATTAAATTGGATTTAGTTCTCAAATTTTAGTCTGGTTCTTGGATATGAGCACATACTTTCAAAACCTGTTCCAACTAGTTTTTCTACTCTTCAAGACTTCTTTGTGATAGTGCTTCACAAACTTGCAAATCTCATTTAAACTTGCATTCAGTCAATGCTTTTTGAAATTAGAAAACACACAAAATTGATAGCATGCAACCCTGGTTTGCTCCTGTACTATGTATTCTCTTTCCTGCAAACAGAAACAAATGCAGTACGTAAATGAAGAAAAATGTAGTGAATCATATTTTTAAGGTAGGGTGTGTTCAGCATTTTTGGGGGGTTTTTTAAATGCACAATGTAGCAGATAGGTTTTAGTGTTTGCTGCAGTTTTTAAAAGGTAGTTCCATTTAGGGCAATTGAACACACATTGTGAAATGGGTAGTGCGGGGGGGGGGTACATTCTGACTTTATTATGGATGATGAGCCCTCACGGGGGAGCAAGGAATTTTAAAAAAATAAGCTTAGTACTTGATTATACAAATCCTCAAGAATTGTATATTTTGATTTGTTGCAGCCTTTTTACACTAAAGTAATACTGAGACTATAATTTGGTATAGAAGGCTTCTTTTAGTGAAAAAACGATGATAATAAATCGGACCAGTTCCTTAGGTCAATTAAATCCTGCACTCTGCTTATAGGTTGAATTCTGGCATATTATACACTTGTCTTGTAGGAAGGAGGAGAAATTACACTCACTGTCAATTTCATGCTTCTCTCAAACTTAATCTCTTGGTTTGGGGCCCTTTTGGGAAATGCTTATTTGTTTTGATCTGTTTTAATTTTGGAATTTTTAGTAACATTTTGGTGCCACCAGTGATGACATAATGACCTGAATCCTATTGATTAGTCCCAACTGGAGTAGACCCAGTACATTAATTGTTGAATTCCATTGATTCAGTGGGTAGACTCTGATTGAGGATTAATCAAGAGATTCATGCCAAGGTCATTTTGCAAATCTTGATACCTGGCATTTATACCGTAGTTTAATTTCCTAAACCATAGAGCTGCCATGCAACTTGTAATGGATATCAAAAAGTTTACAGTGAAGATTTACGCCAGGATCATTGTGACACTTTCCAGGCTTCTAGGTGGAAGCCACTCTTCAAGAAGAAATTCCAAAGTACAAAACAAATATTGACTTGCATTTGAGATCCATAATGTGAGGGTGGAAAATATTTTAACTCTGTTCATGGAGAGGGCAGTTGCTGGTTTTCATTTGCCTACAGTTTTTTAGGGAATGGCATGGGGATCGTGGCAGGAGAGGATGTGATAGAATTTCAAGATGCACATACTAAAAAGCTGTAGGCAAACGGTTGAGGTTGGGATAAGATATACAAATTGGGTGAAAAATCTACCTATGGCTGCACCATGACTGTGCAGCCTCGCTGTTTGTGTACTCTGTTTTTTACATAAACAGCCCAGATTTTTTCATGCTCCCCCTTGATAACCACAACCAAAAGTAAAACAGGACAATAGTTTATTGAGCAGCAGAATGAAATTAGTGAGAGAATGAATTGCTTAATCCTGTAGGCAAATCAACTGCAAGCCATTGACAGCTAATGAAGTCCTTACATCACCTTGAAACCTTAGCGAGTTTCTTTATTTGTTGGAACCCTATAATGACAATCAAATACAAGTTGTGTGCTCACATTTTAGCGGGACTCAGATACCCAGAACTTATGACAGACCTGTACCACCTGTGGTCCTCCAAATTTTGGGGACTCCAACTCCCAGAAGCCCTATCCAGCTTGTCCAATGGCCAGGAATTCAGGAATGGCCAGGAGTCCAAAACACTTGGAGGGCCACAGGTGGGGCAGGACTGCCCTATAGGATTGGAGATTTGGAACCCAAGTAGGCCTAAGCACCAAATCCAAGATAACCAATCATTGTGTGAGGTTTTTTTAAATTAATTTTGCACCTTTCTGAAGTTACAAATAACCACAGTAGTTCTGAAGGGAGAAGAACATATTCTGTGGACATACCCATTGCAGCTAAGACGATCTGAATAGAGTCTGCAAACCCTTCTCAGATAGGATAACGTCTTGTAAGACATTATAATGTCTTGTAACATGTATTAAAACTACTAGACATAGTCATCTTGGTTGTTGCAGAAAACAATAGTAAATAGTCTTAAAGCCCCAGTAAATATGATAAGCTCTTATGAGCTAGAAGTTGATATTGAAGGTGTTGCTACACAAGGTTTAGATTTAATGACTGGAGAAAAGGGTGGAATGCATTTGATTAACTTCAGTCTGCAGTTCTAATTATTAGTCAACTTCATCTAATATAACTTTTTTCAGCATTGCTCAAATCCAGTGTTAATATTACCAGATGGTTGTGTACAGCTGAGGAGCCTCTGGTGGCGCAGTGGGTTAAAGTGCTGAGCTGCTGAACTTGTTGACCGTGAGGTCGGAGGTTCGAATCTGGGGAGCAGCGTGAGCTCCCGCTATTAGCCCCAGCTTCAGCCAACCTAGCAGTTCGAAAACATGCAAATGTGATTAGATCAATAGGTACCACTCTGACAGGAAGGTAACAGTGCTCCATGCAGTCATGCCAGCCACATTACCTTGGAGGTGTCTATGGACAGCACCAACTCTTCGGCTTAGAAATGGAGATGAGCACCAACCCCCAGAGTCAGACACAACTGGACTTAATGTCAGGGGGAAACCTTTACCTTTTACTATGTACAGCTATATTATTCAGCCTTCATAACTGTTGTAAAATGTAACCAATGAAAAGATTCAGAACAAACTGGGGGATAACAAAAAGAAGTGATTTTCGAATACATGTATATGTTTAGCAAGGATCAACTAGCGTGATTATTTCAGCATCCTCTTTAGCATGAGTTAATCTGTTCTGTAGACAAAGTCTGCCACAGCTTGGTAATGGACCAAATAAATGCTTAAGAAAAGTCAGCAGCACACAAAGAGACCGTTTTAAATAGTGCATCGTTTCATTTGTTTATATATGAGAAATCTTGACTATTTTGGTCTTATAAGTCAGTTAAAAAGAAGTAATATATTACAGATAAATGAAATACAGTAGCAAACAAAACTGAGTTTACATTCTAGGTTAACTAGACACTATACAAAATATATTCTTGGATAA